AAGGGTTGAATTTTAAACTTTTAAAATTCTAGGGTTTGGAATTAAAGTTTCATTAATGTAACTTTTTCAAGTTCCAAAACTTGAGGGCAAGTTTTGTAACTTGTCAAAACCGTTGACATTCATAACTTATGAACTTTTATGTTTCATGAATGAAACCTTTCCAATTCCAAACTTGTGTACAAGTTATGAAACCTTTCAAGACTCTTAGAATTCTATAACTTACATTAGTTAATGATTTCATAAATAAAGACTTTTCATATTCCATAACTTAAGGACAAGTCATGGAACTTTTCAAGAACACATATAGATCAAATTTAAGTAATCCAATTATGATATGAAGATCATTTACCAATTTAACCTAATTTGATTCATAGTGCATGATAACTTCAAATTTTACAAATAACTAATATATCACAAAAACAAGTAGTTGTCTTAGAATTTGAAAAACATCATGCTATTGGATGGGGATAGACATTACCATATCATTAAAATCGAATTTTATGAACCAAAACAGTTTGTGGTAATGTTCCTAACCCAAAACAGGCCAAAAACTCAAAAATTCTGCCCACTGACTGTCCAACTCGTCGAGTGCACTTATGAAATCGACGAGTTCATCATCATAAGGCACCTACTCGTCGAGTTCATACATGGACTCGTTGAGTAGGCCTGGCAGAATCCAGAATTGTCATTTTTCAGCTTTTGAAAATCACACAATTGCATCAATATAATAGAAAACACCCATTGCTCTGATACCACTGTTGGGTTTTATGTACTCTAACAATCCTATGGTGCACATACAACCCTAATACTTTGGATCTAAGTTTTCTCTAATTATACATGCAATAAACATTTTCCAAAGCATGAAGCCTAAACTAGCATGCAAGGTGATACTTGAATCATAAAAACTAGTTAGAATATTACCTTGTGTGGTAGCTTGAATGACTTGGCCTCAAGAAAGCTTAGCACCCCAAGTGTGATGCCTCAAATGGAATCACAAAACACCAAGAACAATTATGATGAATATGGAGAGATTTAGGAGACTATAAATCGGATTCTACTTCTTGGAATGCAAGGTGTCACCGATTTTAGCATATATATATATATATATATATATATATATATATATATATATATATATATATATATATATATATATATATATATATATATATATATATATATCTGTGTGTGTGTGTGTATGTGTGTGTGCCTGTAGAATATCAAGGGTCATGTGTAACCCTAATCCATACTCATAAGCTTATGATCCATCTATTTGATTTGGATAAATACTTCGTGGATTAACCCATAAGCCCATCACAAATCAAACCATGGATTATTAGCCCAACTCATATGTATCAATTTAATTAGTCTCTTTTGATCACTAAACTAATTCTTAAATTGATTCTTAATCAATACTAATTAAATAATATGATTCCTCAATTAATATATTATACTTATAATATATTAATAAATCATAATTAACCTCTTACCCAAATATCCTTTCTAACATATTGCTTTGATGAATGCAACCCAAATGGACCATGCTATTATCGTGTCAAGTACATACCAATTATAGTTATGAACTTAGACACTTTTTCCAACATTTTCCATATTGGGCCCAAACCCATCATGACCCTAAAATTAACGGTTCAACCCCAACAACGGGTCCCCACGTCGTGACTAGACCTTGGTCACATCGTGGGTACCGACTCGACTCAGTCCCGACTCAGCGAGTCAACTCAACTCATCAAGAAGATTCCAGTATCCTTCACGTCGTGACCCAACCTTGAGTCACGCCGTGGTCCAATCTAAACAAAACAGACGGGATGGCCAACTTTCTCACGTCGTGACGGTCCTAAACCTCACGTCGTGAGATCGGTACAGGCCAGCTCAAAACATTAAGCTCTTATCCCCTGCAACCATGACTTGGGACTTTCCAAGAGGTCTTCCTTTACCCAAAAGATGATAAAAATCGAGGCTTTTCAGTCATGCATGTCCAATGTATGACTGAAACTCTTACTAGACCAAAAGTGGGGAAAATGAGACCTAGACTCAAACTTGGAGTCCCAAACTTCACCAAAACTCAAATCCAAAGACTAAATTGAAGAGAATGAGTCGATGATCCATAAAATTTCCAACTTTATGGACCCCATGCAAGCAATCCCACCCAAACATGCAAAAAAGAGCTTATAACTTAGATCTAGAATGAAAACGGTAGAAATGTCCAAGCATTATGACTTACAATGGTCCAAAAGCTCCAAGAGATTGCAAGGTGGAAGCCAAAATGCCAAAAGGTTGCTCAACCAAGGTCTTCTTCCACTTTAAGTAGCTAAAAACCACCAAAGAATGCTTCAAAGTTCTCAAAAATACTTAAGAGCTTTAAGAGGGTCGAGATTAGGGTTTTCCAGAGGCTTAGAGGGTGTGAGAGGCTGAGGATGGATGAACCTAGCCTCTCATTCACTTAAGTACCCGGAAATTAGGGTTTTGGGTCATTAATCCGCATTCACGTCGTGAGACCTTATGCCTCACGTCGTGAGTTTCCAAAAACGTGGGTTAGCAGGTCAATGGTCACTCACGACGTGATCCCCAAGATCTCACGTCGTGAGGACCCTCACAATGCAAAATAAAAGAATGGATTTTTGTACCTTAGGGTTTCGGGTGTTACAAAGAGAGGCAAGAGGGAAAGAGTGACGAGAGACAAGAGAGAATAGGGGAGAGACGCAAGTAGAAGGAGAGAGAGAGGGGGGGGAGAGATAGAAAGAGAGAAAGAGAAAAGTAGAAAGATGGAAAGAGAGACGAGAGAAGAGAGACAAGATGGAAAGAAAGAATAGAGAGATCGGTAACTGGCGAGAAGGTTTTCTGATAATGGGCTAATAGGGTGGAGGAGTGAACAACGGGGGTCGGTGGAGGAGAAGTGTGAAAAGCTTATTAGGATTGGTGTTACAGATTGTTTTCCAAGTTCAGAAGCTATTTTTACTTCTTTGTAATTAAAAAAAAGGTCAAACAAACATTTGACTATCTTTTGTCTTCTAAAAAACAAACAGTCTTTTATTGTAATCTCAGCCCGTCCGCACATATAAAAGGAGAAAATTTATTTTCTGAAAAAAACACCCTACTTAATTATGAAACTAACTCTTAGATTTAAACAATTTCAAGTGTTACTTGAACTTTATGGGGCCATAAAAACTTTTGTATTAGTTGAAATATGTCCAAGATGTACATCTTTTTACTCGAACTCCACACTTGTTGTAATTTCATCTAAAGAGTTTTCTTGGTTCCCAACTATTAAAGAATTCATGGTAGAAAGGTGTCAACCGATTAGTGAAAAAAGAGAAACCTATTTGATATACTTGATTTTGCTTATGTAATGTAGCCATATATAATGTAGCCATATATTCGTCACATGAATGTCATCTCAATAAAATTTGTTAACTAAGCTTCTAAAACCTACTAACCAATTTTATCACGTCAAATAAATTGTTTTTTTTAATTATTCATGTAATGGCTTTTCTAAAAGCTTTTATAAATATAAACGAGTTTTTCTATAAAAGTAAGATGATAACTAATAAGGAAATTGGTTAGTACATAATAATTTCTTTAATATATAAAAATTTATGTTTTAAAATATTTATACGAAAGTATAATTTTTTTATATACAAATCACTTAAAAAAATTAATAATATTTTTTTGTCAAAGGGTCCTGATATTTCCACTGGAGTATTTTATTCATCCACTTGATATCATAGTATTTTGACATTTTTGCCCTTCTTTTTAATTTTCAAAAATATGAAAAAAGTGAAAAGATACCAAACGTCGTTTTCTTCATTGACCCTAGTCGTCATACAAGAAACCTCGATCACTTCTTCCAAGTCGCCGACCCCCCTTCGTAATCGGTCCCCGTTCTGAATCGATCCCTAGATACACCTTCAATAAAACCGAGACCCATCCCCAATCGATGCTCCAACTGTGTGTGCAAGTCTCTATCCTGATTAGGGGTGGCAAATCGGGTCATCGTGTCGTGTTTTTGTCTGACACGACACGACACGACAATGTTTTATATAACACGAACACGACACTACACGATGTCGTGTTTTTTTAATTAACACGAAAACGAACCGATTAAAAAACGACAAACACGACACGACACGACAAAGATAACATAATAAAAAAGTTAGTTTATTTAATTAATATTTAATCATACATAACACGATAAACACGACAAACACGAAAAACACGACAAATAAATGCTAATCGTGTCAATTTCGTGTCAAATGTTAAACACAAACACGACATCGTGTTTTTTACACTTAACACGAACACGAATTCGAATTTCAGTTTCGTCCCAAATTCATTTCGTGTCGTATATTTTTGTCGTCTCGTGTCAACAATTGCCACCCCTAATCCTGATCTCTGCTTCGCTTTTGGATGGCGTGAATGGACTGAATCCGAAATCATCTATACCCAAATCTTAACTAAACTTTCTTTTAGCCTTTTTTAAATCAGCAAATTTGAATACTTTCAGACTTGTAATAACACTGGTGAAAGCACCAACAATTCTACTGTTGGCATTCTATTATCTGATAGCTTTGAATCACCGGAGGCTGAAATGGATAAATACAAACTGATTATATATAATCACTATATTATCTCTTATATATAAGATGTGATTTTGTTCATATTCATTTCAATCAAATAAACATACATGTATGGTGATTATTTGAAAAACAAAGGGGGTTGTACATGGTGATTTGGTTGCTTGTTGCAGGTGTGATGATGTTGGTGAAGATGAAGCCAATATAGAGCGAGCATGGGTGGCGATGATGATGGTAATGGCCTGAAGTGGAATTGTGATGATTGTTCATGTGTATGATGAAAGTTGTGTTCAACTGGGTCTGATCAAGAAGACGATGAAGGCTGCGTGGGAATGGTGTGTGGCGTGAGATGATTGTGTTGGTGATGACGGTGTTCTTGGGAGAAGATGATGAACTTATCGCCGGCTATCAACTGTTGGGTGATGGTGGCTGGATGTGAATGATGGCATGTTGGCTGGGGTGACGAGTGTTTGATGGCAGTTGGTGGAATGTAGAAGATGATCGGATGAAAGAGTGAACAAGAAATAGGGTCGTGCAGATCTCAATGTTAGAACAGGGGCTTACAATGGTGGCCGTGATGGTGTTTTCCGGCAAAGATAAGGAGCAAGATATAACCCATTTATCTTTTTCACATTAAATTAGCAATAAGGGCAAAAATGCCATAACATTTTAATTTTAATTTTAATTTTAATTTTAAGTGGACGCATAAAATAAAAAACTGGAAGTATCAACTCCCTTTCTCAAAGCTTGCCTCAATTTATTACATAACTCGTTAATTCAGAAAAAAGAAAAAGTCAATTCCGTGGTTGTAACTTGTAAACACAAATGAGAAAGGCGACGTACCGTCATTTTCCTCTTCTCCCGGAAAATGTGGAAAATTATTTTAAAACTAAGGAAGAACCCCGCTTTGCGGGGCTGGAAACGCCAAAGAATTGGAAATAACAGAAAGATTTTATTGTCTTTCTGAGTTACAAATGTTAACCATTTTATTGCCCAAATGACCATAATCAAAAGTTTTAGCAAAATACTTTTGTTCCCTTCACCTTGACATCTATTGACAATTCTCACCGATGGATCAAAATCTACCCAATAAAAACAGTTTGCAGGTGCAATATGGACCTAAAACTGTAAAAATTAAATTTTATTAATATAATAACAGTGTACGGGGGCAATATGGTCCTAAAATTGTAAAAATTGAATTTTATTAATATAATAACAGTGTGCAGGGGTAATATGGTCCTAAAACTGTAACAAATCAATTTTATTTATATAAAAGGTGTATAGGGGCAATATGGTCCAAAAAATGCAAACATTTACTTTTTTAATGTTAAAACAGTGTGCAGGGGCAATTTTGGTTGTCTATTATTTTATAGCAATTCACTAACTATTTTAAGTTACCAACCGTATGTTACATGAGTTATAACCTAATTTTAAATAGAAAACATATACATGTTTATAACAAACTTTAAAACAGGTCTTCTTACTTCTATTATTAAAAATTATATAATCACTTTTAAAATACACATATAAACATCGCTTTAGAAGGAAAAAGAAAATACATACAGTTGTGAGATAATAATAAAAAGAAAAAAAAAGAAAGGGGAGTAAATTGTAAGGAGGAGCATAGCAACAAAGGACTCCCTCTTGAATAATCTCATTTGGGACTTCAGTCTCACCAAACATACAGTACCATTTGTTTTTGGATGTATAACTATCACATGTGAATTTCCCAATGATGAGCACCTATGTATTAATTAATTAAATATTATAGTATTGATTTTTTTTCGTAAGTGATAATTGATATTCATTGCATCATGGAAAGAGATAAATAAAAAATTATTACCTTTGTTGACTCAGATGCAGATCCAAATTCAGGTGCTATATCACGAATATTAAATTTCTGCTCTTGTGAAATGATTAAACCAAAATTTGAGTCGAGGGCATTTCCGTCTATCATTGCCTACAAAATTTGTGTAAAAAAATATTGAGTAAAAAAATATTGAATTGGAAAAGTGACATGTTTGATTCCCAAGTTTCAACTATTAATCTAAATAACGATGTGAAAACAATGGTTTTCTAAGTTTTTGAAGCTAATAATTGGTGTCTTTAAATACGTCATAACATCAAGAATCAAGATTAATGAATGTGGAAAAATGGGACTTTTTATGCTTACTTCCACTGTTTGAAGCTCCATTCCCATCATCCCTTGATGGTTAACATTTGATTCCAAAATCTCTATTCAAAATAATTATTGTGTTATTGTATGCATAAATGTGGGCCAATCAAATTTACTTATTTTAAGAAAATGATTAATATATATTATTGAATTAAATATAATTGAAAAATATCATCTTAATTAATTACAAGGGTAATTTAGTCAATTAATATAGATTTAATAAAGGAAAATTGCATTTTTTAGGGATCATAGATTCTATTAATTTTTAAAAATCTGATTGTACGAATTATAGTTCTTTTAATTCGGACATTCTGACAGAATATGTTTATGAGTATATTCAAAAATAAAAATATTCTTGAACCATAAATAATAAAAATATTCTTGAACCTACTTGTTCATCATGACTTTAAAAACTTCTTGTAGAATAACAAATTCTTGAACAATCAATTGACGAATAAAAACAAAAAATACATTATTTCTTATAGAATACGGGTAACAATTGTTAAGAATTGTTAACAATTGACGAATAAAAAACAAAAAATACATTATTTCTTATAGAATAAAAACAAAAAATACATTATTTCTTATAGAATACATTCTAAAAAAAATAATGTTGCTTAGAATCACTTTCAATTTTGTGGTCCGTTCTTCAAGCATCAACTTCTGTGAAAATATCCATACTCCATTCCAACAGAATTGGAATTCATGATTCCATTTCAATAGAATTGGAACCATTGTAAATTGTGATTGATACTTTTGCATATAATATCTACATCAACAGAAGTCATTAAAACCTGCGAGAAAATGCAACTTGGTATTAGTTATATTTCATTTGTATAATTATAATAACACTGATGGAATGATAAAATTGCACCCAAAAAGTGGCCATAACTACAAATCCCAAGCATTTTATCCAACATGTGTGTGTATCTAGAGAATAGCAATGAACAACATTTTTATCCATTATAGCAATGGACTTACCTTTTTTACCCATAATAGCAATGTACTTGAATCCTACAGAAAAGAAATTTTCCATGGGTGTTCATCCTAGAAATCTAAGAATTCAAGTGTAAAAAATACAAAACTATATCCAGTTATATGATTCTGATATCAACTTTGATCCCATGACAGTTTCGCACTTCAAAACAGTACGTACTCATCAGAAGATAGCTTCATACAACGAAAGGGGTAATTCAAAATACTATGAAGCAAACATAATCCCACTGTTGAAGGCGAATTAATTGAAGAAAAAACCTAACCATACCATCGTCATTATCATAGGATTTGATTACAAATTATGCATACCTAAAGGGCATATTACTTAGGGCAAAATAAGCAAAAACCCCGCCAATCAAGAATTGATTCGAATTATTACATGATAATGGAAGATATCGTCAGTACAAAGTGAACCAGCGATCTCATCAGCTACAGTCAAGCACGATATAACCCAATCACCATATTCGCCATCCACAGTGTCATACTCCAAGGTACTGCCATAGTCGTACCTATTGTTCCCATCGACCAGAGCGCCATCCACACCTTCTCTGTTGTTCCCATTGACCACATCGACATGCGAAGCCAACCGACGAACCTTCGTTGCTCCGGCCATTGCTGTTCGCGTCGTCGCTCATCGTCGCTGCTACTGCTGCTACCGATTTGGTGATGGCATCTTCAACGGCGGGAGTGGGGTTCTTCAGTGTCTTCTTCATCGTCGCCGGGAAATTAGGTCAGTAGCCGATTGGATGGTCGGCGTGAAGGAGTCTTCAACCGGTGATGAAGATTGATCCTACACCGGTGATGAAGATTGATCAGATCAGTCGAGTCGTAGGCCGTATATAAAAGGGGGGAATTAGGTTAAAATCAACCAAAATTATAAGGAGTGTTTGTGGAAGTTATTTCTCAAATTACCTAGTTACCCTTATTGATTTATTTAATTATTGTTTTTCTATTAATTTTTTATTGGTCCACAATCATGCATACAATAATACAATACTTAGTTAGAATACCTGAACCTATCTCTCTCTCTCTCTCTATATATATATATATATATATATATATATATATATATATATATATATATATATATATATATATCCTTTAGAAGAATAGCCCCACTCCAAAACACCTTATTTGTCAAGAGTCCCGAATCTTTTGATGCAACAAATGCCTGACTGAATGAGGGAACTTGGGACTAATCTTTTGAGGCTTGTAAGAAACATTAAATTCAGGTATCTCCACATCAGAATCTTCCACAGTGCCAGGCTAGCAAACCATCCTACACATTTATAATTTATTTCATCATCATCAATATAAACTATAAAGCCACCTACCCAGCCAGTAATCAATCTGGTAAACACATAGTAATAACACGCACCAGCATACGGATAAACATTGTCTTCCCTGTTCCATTTTCACCAAGCATTACTATGATCTCAGAGTCTATGAATTCACCCTCAACCACCTGCTCCAAGTCCAACTCTTAAGCATGCCTGAAAACCATCACAAAAACATTAAATATTTAATTAATCTAAACATCTCCTTCTAAATTCAACTATTTAAAACGAAAAAACTACCAATTAAAATGATTTCAAATCAGATGTATGGGAAAATATGAATAAAAAAAGGTTTGGTCTCCATTTTCTTCCACTTCTAGTCCCTACTGGGTGAACTTTCTTCCACCCCTTGTTCACCCTTATGAAGAAAATGACTTATGTATTCATTTGACTTTTGAAATTGATTATGAGATGTTGAATAATTAGAATAAGATACTCGGTTGTAAAGAAAGGTTTTGCAAGAGAGGAATGCAACAAATAGCATTGTACTTTCATGTACATTCTATCACTTCCAGTCACATACATACTGCCCAAAACCTTAATTCTATATAATCACAATTCAAAATGAAGAAAAAAACAACAATAAAGTGTGATTATTACCATTACCATGTCGCCATCAAACAAATGATATATGTAAAAAAAATCAGATAGTTATTTCACCAAAATTTCTTCAGACGGAACCTTTTAGGAGAAGTATCCCTACCTAACAGTAAATAAAATGGCAATGGCCCACATTATCACAAATGTATAAACTGATGCAATATGAAACATACCAATATCTCAGGTTTCTACAAATGCAGATGATGGAGCATTGTATAAGAATTCACAATTTGGTTCATCAGGAGGATTATTTTGGTAATTTTCAGCTTGTATGATCTCCTTGAGATGTTACCTATGCTTCCGTCTAGCTTGGCCTTTTGGGTACATCTCGTACATCTGAATCTTTTTAAAACTTAGGTGTGCATGTAATACCATCTCTGATTCTATCACCTCTTAGTCCATCTTAGAAGACAAAAGAGCACAAAAAAGAAACTCTCTTAATATATGATTGATTCAACTGTTATCAAGTAATTTCATTTAAAAGAAATATGCCAAAAACCATAAGCCAGGGATACTAAACAACCCTAATTTTAGATATAACAATCAAATCCTAATTTCAGATGGAATAGACGCAAAGGAAGTCATAGAGCCAACCTAAAATTTAGCATTAGTTAAAACATGGTCTAGCCATAGGAAACAACCTAAAGCCTTCTATAGAACATGATGTAGCTATAGGAAACAACCCAAAGTCTTATATGATTGCTGAGAACTTTAAACTATAATGAATAAAGCAGCAACAATAAGCACCAGGAAACCTAAAATCTAGTCACTTCGCTCAGGCATTTTATCAAACAGGTCGTGTGCCTTTCCTGCAATCATTCTTTAAGCGGAAATTACAAATGCAAAATCAGTTATAATCAAATCCCCAAAAACCGATCACAAAGGTTTACAATGTACATGAAATTAGAAAAAAAGGAAGTCAAATTCAATTACGATGAAGAGTGAAGACCAATACAAAGAATCGGTACAAAATCCCAAATTATGATTACTGATCAAGCAAATATATAAAAATCCACAATACAGAAGAGGTAAAACTAAACTAAAAATTAATTTAATAAGAGCCTATGATACTTAAAATTAAGAACAAATACTATTAAGAACAAAAGTATTGGATCAACGTTACAATGAGAAAATCATTCATGTTTGATGGCAATGAGAGTAAAGTGATTTACAGGTTCTTGGAAAGAAATGGAGAGCTAAAGAGAGAAAACGGGGTCAAGCATCATCAAATTGGTTATGTAAATATCAAATTCATATGCACTTTATGTAACTTAACAGACATAATACCTTGATTTTTTTGGTCAACGATTAGAAATGAAGACGGATTCACAGGAATGCTTTTCTACAGGGGAATTTCTAGTGTGTGTGGTGATTCTTGGTGACTAAACACCTGGATAAAGTGTGATGTAGAGGAGGAGGTACATACGTCGTCATAAGAGGCGATTACTGTTAGTTTCTTGTTTGATTCTTTATGCAGACAACAAAATTTCACATTGTGTGATGAATAATTACCTTGTCCCAAGGTCTTCTAGCATCAGAAAGGGCCTTCGTATGGATTTTGTGTGGCTATTTGGCGCTGCTGTCGAGTACCATTCCGTTATTGAGTTTGCCTATACTGTGGATTGTTTGTTGGTGTTTTGTTATCATCAATATTATTTAAGTGTAATGGGATTACTTTGTTGACCAAAAGTGATCTTGATAAATATTAAACAAGTAAGGAAGGTGTGGAGTACACACTTGTTTAAGCTTAATCAAGTTTCAAAGTACACTGTCATTTAGGGGCGAAGCCCCTAAACGAACGGGGGTCCGGGGGCAGCGCCCCTGGGAGCGGGGTCCAAGGGGCAGAGCCCCTGGCTGGGGTCGAGCTGCCATGTCAGCGCGGGAATTTTTTTTAGGGTATGTTACTATATTAAAAATGCATCAGAAAATCGGATTGTCAGAGAATTGACCATTGTTTGACCCTTATCCAAACTTTCGTTTTTTATGTCAGTTTTTATAGTTTTATGACAGTTTGAAACTGTCATATGACAGTTTTCAGACAAAGATCATAAAGTCGTTTTTGGTCTCATTTTTCTGGTACATACGAAACTACCATCAAAACATTCTAAGTTCTTGTCCATCTGAGTCTTATCCGATTAAAGAATATTGGGAGTACCACCCAAATGCTTTAATCTGAAAGTGTTTAACACAATTCTCAGAAATCCAAGCCTTTCTATACCCCAATTCTAACAAAGATTAAAGCATTCTGTGATAATGGCAGTGTTGATTCTGTGAAGGATATGACAAGCAAGTTTGACAAATTGAACAAGTTTGAAGGACAAGATTTTCGTAGATGGAAGAAGAAGATGCACTTTCTACTTACCACTCTGAAAGTGGTGTATGTTCTGAGTACACCCATGCCAGTCTTACCAGAATCCTGTTGAAGATGAAACCTTGGAGGCAACCAAAAAGAGATCAAAGGGAAAATGATGATTACATATGTCGTGGTCATTCTTCTCAATGGTATGTCTGACTCTCTTTTTGATATCTATCAAAAGTTCGAATCTGCAAAAGAACTGTGGGATTCTCTTGAATCCAAGTACATGGCTGAAGATGCTTCTAGCAAGAAGTTTCTTCTCAGTAACTTTATGGGTTACAAGATGGTTGACTCTAGGCCTGTTATGGAACAATTCCATGAAATGTTAAGGATTTTGGGACAGTTTGCTCAGCACAATCTGAAAATGGATGAAGCCATTTCTGTGGTTGTGATCATTGACAAACTGCCCCCTTCCTGGAAGGATTTTAAACATAATCTGAAACATACCAAAGAGGAATTGACTCTGACTCAACTTGGAAGCCATTTAAGGATTGAAGAGTCCATAAGGACTCAAGAACTTGATAACAATCCTAAAGGCAAGAGCCAAGTTGGTTCCTCTTCTGTGAACATGGTGGAAGGAGAAAGTTCAAAGAATCTCAAGAAGTCTAATGGAAAAAGGAAGTTTACGGGAAAGGATGACAAATCTTCAAACAAGAAGGCTAAGTTGGTTTGTTGGAATTGTAACAAACCGGGTCATTTCAAGAAAGATTGTTGTCTTCGCAAAGTGAACAAGGATGGTGCTGGACCAAGTGGATCCAAGGATCCAGAAAAGCAACTAGGTCAGATCTCTGTTTTCATGCAGAATTCTAAATATATTCAGAATTATTTTCTATGATTTCTGAAGCATTTGTGTGCAGGATGATAATGTTGCATGGTGGGTTGATTCGGGAGCAACAAGTCATGTTTGCAAAGATCTATATTGGTTCAAGGACTTTCAACCAATTGCAGATGGATCTGTTGTGAAGATGGGAAATGTTGCAACTGAACCACTCAAGGGCATAGGATCTGTTTTACTTACTTTTACTTCTGGGAAATGTTTGTGTTTGAACAATGTATATGTTCCAGGGATTCGTAAGAATCTCATGTCTGAAATTGTATTAAATAATTGTGGTTACAAACAAGTGTTAGAAAGTGACAAGTATATCTTGTCAAGACATGGTTCTTTTATGGGATTTGGCTATGTATGTAATGGAATGATAAGGCTTAATATTATTATCCTTCTAGTGATAATTTTGTTGTGCATGGCTTCTAGTAGTAGTAGCAATAATTTTCATAATCTGAATATGGCAGCTAGACTAGGACACATTCATTACAAGAGAT